CTCAACCTAGAACTGACCTTAATACTTGCATGTAATTAGAATGGTATGAAAGCAAAAAGGAGGAGGGGGGATGGGACCAGCGATTTCTGAGGGGGGTTGAAGGGGGCTAGGGGATGACATCTGAAATGTAAATAAATAAAATATCCAATTAAAAAAAAAGAGTGCTAAGGATGCTGGCCCTCATTCATTCTGCAGTTTGTTGTTATGACCTGTGAAACTTTTCTGACTCTTTTGTAGACTGGGAAATGCCAGGATTCAGTTCATACTGTATGGATACTGATTGCTCACTTACTGTACCATCCCATACTGTCCACACAGAAATCCATATGAAACCAGAGAGTATACATGGAAACCAGTTTTGTAACGTGAGTGTTGACTGCAATATTGTGAAGCTATTAAACAATATGAGTAGTGAAGAGTATCATGCCCAGGTCACTGCAAGTCAAAATCAAACTCTCAATGATGCCTATCCTCTTGTTTCCTCTTTCTCCTCTGCCTTTCTTTATGGGAAAAAAGGATTGATTGCGGAGGCTTACTCAGGAGACCCTTCTGTTTCTAAACACTATCTTGAGAGACACTTAGGCCAGTTGTCATTCTACTTAATTCCCTTTGTGTAGTTAGAAATTGCAAAGTCTGTCCTGAAGTTTGCTCTAAGAAGAAAACAAATCATAGAACAAGAAAGTGTTTTGCAAACTTTAAGTCACACATGAAACAATGTATACAGGGGATCAGATTGTGGATATCCAAAGCCAAGCTTGGCGTCTATTCCTGGGCTGTCAGAGATTTCACACCTCTGAAAGACGCTGTCAGGGATCATGATGGTTGTCAGCATGCCTCTGGGAAAGTCTGTGAGGGTGTTTCCTAAAAAAGGGGAAATTTCCCGTATTACATGAAGGAAAAACACTCATTTCCTTCCTCCAATGTACCCGAGTTCTGAAGGAGCTTAATGGAAAAGCTATTGATTTTTGTGCTACCACTGTGAGTGTGCTTTCTGATGCCATCTTGTCTCTTCTGATGTCCTTGTCTTACATCCTCACTCAGTGTCTTCAGTCCCCCCATGTGAACCAAAGCCCAGCAGCTTCCAAGGATCCTCCTTCTGTACCAGATTCTGACTGCAGAGGGGACCAGCCTCTTGGACTGAGCAGCAACCATGTTCTTAGACTCTCCAGCATGCAGCCAGTTATTGTAGAATAACTACCCAGAATGCATCATGTCAGATAACCTAACAAATCCCCTTAGTATATATCCATCCTCTCTGCTCTCTCCCTCTAAGACAGTGATTTTTGAAGATGCTTCTAAACCTGGACTCTTCGTGAACTTGACAGGTTCCTCCAATGTAATCTGTTAGATTCATAAGATTACCGGAAATGGGCTCCATTTTAAGTCTTATGATTTATTTTGCTAACATCGCTTTACTGATATAAAAATAAATTTCTATGGAAGTGACACAGGAGCAGGCATCCCTCTGAAGTTTTCTAAAGGATGACTTTCCAATTTATTTATTTTGTTTGCCTCATGATGCCTCTCCTTTTTTAAAAAAGTGTATTTTCTCAGTGAAGTGGATAAGTTGTAAATTCTACTTAAGAAAACCACATAAAATTCAAAACAATAGAATACTATACAAAATAATTGTTATCTACCTAAAACTAATTTAATTTCATCATATAAGTTCTAATTTCATAGATTTAATACCATTTAGATGGAAACAGTGGATGTGTGCCCAAAGCTATATGATGTTGTATGTGGCTATCAACAGGTTTGTTTTAAACTCTGGTTATTCTGGGGGCAGCTGAATTAAACAATAGATATATTTAAGTTTGGAATAAAGGCCCAACTGGCATTCAGTATCAGAGGGAAGAAAATAAAGACATTCTTGTGTCTACAACAGTAAGTGTTTCCATACTTATTTTATTTAATAGCTTCCAGTGGCTGAAGACTTCAATATCAAATAATTATTTTTTATCCAAAAAATGTAAGTTTAAAGATGTTTTTAATGGAACTTAATACTCTTTTGGGGATTGGATGTTTTGTTTTAAGACTTTGTGGTGACCTTGTTAAGTCATTTACATAGAAGTAAATCATGCTTTGGAGAAGGGTCAGCATAATGAAACTTTCTCTTCATTTCCTATAAGGACAAGTGAAAGACATGGGTCATGTTTGAACTACTGAATAATACAAGTTATCACTTATATTTTATATTCTGTTTGGGGATATAAGGCAAATATTGATAATGTACATGAAAGTACAAACAGAGTGAGAAGGGAGAGGGAGGAGGGGAAGAAGGAGAAGAAGAAGAAGAAGGAGGAGGAGGAGGAGGAGGAGGAGGAGGAAGAGGAAGGAGGAGAGAGAGAAAGAGAGAGAGAGAGAGAGAGAGAGAGAGAGAGAGAGAGAGAGGGAGAGAGAGAGATTGAGATTCAAGTACTTCTGGTTCTGAGATCAGCTAAAAGTTTCAGTAATCGCCTGTGAAAAAAAGAGTTTTAATTTTTTTTTCAAAACCTGTTAGGGAAAACATCTCTAAATAGATATTCCTACTGAAATACTCCTGTAAATGATTAAAAGACCTTAACCCCAAGGACGATGGCATAATGAAAGTTTCAGGAAAGAAAAATGTCTACCCAGAATAGAAAAAGAACCAGTTAAAAATCACAACAATTAAAAAAATATTTTCACTGACAACTTCCACTTCCCTGGTAAATTTTCCCATAAAATTTATAAACTACTTTAAAAGAGAATATAGACTAATAATTTGTTTTAGTTTCTCCAGTTTTCTAATGAAGAAGCTCGACTACATGCTAATTTTTCTCAGTTCTAATATTCACATTAATATACGGTATTAAAATGGTCTCATTGGTCTATTCAAATGATAATAGAAAAGGTGGCTTAAGATTTTGAAGCCTGGCAAGGCAATTGTTTGTTGATAACAAAGAAAACTAATAAGTGATCAAAGACACTACACAAGTCCTAACCCACTAAGGTTTTCCTCAGTGCCCCTGCTTCCAAGCCAATGTGGTCATCAGATATATTACTTTGTTTTGTTTTATTAAAGACTCTAAGAATCCTAGGTCCCTACTGTCGGAAATCTTTATCATTTTTGGGATGAGATCAGAATTTCCCATTTTTGAAGGAGACCTCAACATTCTGATTTGAACATAGACAGGTGCTACAGATCATTCCCAGACTGCCTGGAATTCAGGGGCACCGAGGAGCAGATGTGACCACACCAATAATTTTAGGTTATCATTTCATGCCTCAAGGAACCACTTCTCCAGTGTTTTCTCTCCTCTAGTGGAAAAGTACTATAACTAGTGTCTGGTATCTAGGCTACGCTCCTGTGGTAGAAACGGTCCCTGAAGTATGCAAGATTGAGAAAAGTGGATCTATAACCTTTGTGATTTGTGCCAGACTCACATTCTAGACACTTAATTCCACTTAAGCCCTAGAAGTCTTCTTACTGTAAACCATGAATCTCGCCATCACCGTGCTACAGTCTCGAGCCTTTTAAGGCAATCTGTGATTTAAAAATTATTTTCCTTACTTCGGGGAATGGTATAATAAGGTGGAATCCTCTTAGTGTCTAGGATATTATAAGCAGAAAGCCCACTGACTTTGTATGGCAAAGAGAATTTCTTAACATTTTGGGTGAAGTAGAATTAATATTTCACGGACCGTGTAATATAATTGAATTTAAATGAGAACAAAGTTGTTTCTAAGATCCTCTATGTAGGATTCTAAGTATCTTAGCCTACTTCTTCTAGGCCACTTCTCAGTACAGATTTCATGTATCAGGTGTAAACAAATTATACCCTTGATGTACATCACTGCCCCTTATATTATTATCAATGCCCAATTTAGTTTGAGGCCTTTTTACACAGTATAAGAAATTCAATATAACTGAGCTGTCAACAAAAAATTGTTCATGATCATTCTTGTTATACATAACAAAGTGAATTAGTTTTTTATCTACTGATTTTGTGGAAATGATTAGAAAAGATGCATAAAAGAAAACAAAAAAACCAACCAAACAAAACAATCAAGCAACTTACCTCTACAGAGATAGAATTCCAGTTAAAGCTGACAACTGAAAACTTGGGACAATTTTAACAAAAGGGAAAATTCAGCACAATGTGATGCCTTTCTTTATCTCATTTAAGGAATGTTTGTTATTGAGAATGACAAAGTAAATTCATTACTTTGTCCTGTCAATATTAAGGCAGTCAAGTATACAGTTAAAGTCACATGAGACTACCAGATGGTATATTAAAAAAGCATGTGTGAGCATCTTATGCTTGCTCTAGAAGGCTAGTATATTAAACCTGTGACATTTTCATTTAACAAGAAATAAATAGTATCAGCTATTTTTACATGGGTTAAAATGCTATTTAAGATTGATTTCTGGGAAATTGTTAATGTTAGGTTTGTGTATAATTCTTATTTTTCAATATAGTTGGTGGCCAAGGAAGTTATTAAGTGATATATGAATGTCAAATGCCTTAGGTGAGTACCTATTAAAAGGTATGCAAAATATAAATAGGATTGTATATTTTCAATACTTTAAAATAAACACAAAGAATATATAGGTCTACATGTTATAATTTCAAAGTCAACACTAGCACATAATCTTTTACCTAAATACATAACCAGAATACTTCCTATGACAAAACATGCACCCACAAACACATGGCCATGCACAGAACCTTGTTTTCTGCATTTGCAAGGAAAGTTCGAATATACAATATTGTACACTGTGTCAACTTAAATCATATTGGAAAGTCAATGAGAATGGCAATAAAAAAAATCTAATGTAAGAAATTAAAGTACAGGTAGATAACTATCCCATAGATTAAAAACACTGAAGACTGATGGAAAGTTAGGATTTAGATTGCTTGTCCCAGTGGTCTTAGAAGATACAGAACAGAATAGGACTGTTTGTAAACATTCTGAATATTCAGTTTGGCAAAAGGTATGAGAACTTTTGTAATCCAGCAATCCAGGCTAGAGATCTAGAGCATCTGGGCTTCTGTTTGCAGAGAGACTTTATAGCTGTGGGCAGTGCTCCGCAAGGCTGGGGGTGCAGATGGTGATCTGGATGCCCATCTGGATGGGAGCCGGCGATTTGCTGGTCTAGCAGGTCGGGAAAATCCTTTTCCATTGGAAGGTTTCACTGCTATGAACTCCTACAACATAAACAAATGCTGTAATCTCTTAATACATACCACCTTTATCAAGCAAATATCCTTTTGATTATCATCATCGTCATCATCATCATTGTAACAATAATAAAAGTGTTCTTGAGATTTTATAGTTATGGTTCCAATGAGTCTTCTTTCATGAAATCGTTTTAGATTTATTTGTTTTTATTTTCTATATATGGATGGTATGTATGTATGTATGTATGTATGTATGTATGTATGTATGTATTATGTATGTGCACCATGTGTGTGACTGGTTTACACGGAGGTTAGATTTCTAGTTCCAGTGGATTCCCTGGAACTAGAGTTACAGACACGTGAGACAGCATGTGGTAACTGGGAATTGAACTCAGGTCTTCTGGAAGAACAGGAAGTGCTCTTATCTGTTTAGCCATCTTTCCAGCTCCTCCAACTGGTCTTCCTAATAAAGCTAATATCTTTAATCTGAGACAGGCAGCAAGGACAGATTCAGATGCTATTATCTCACTCATGGACAAGCAATAACCCTATTTTTTATGGCAGGAGCTCTGATTGGATAGAGAAGAGGTAGGCGGACCTAGGAGTGGGAGGAGGAAGGTATGAGGAAGGAGGAGAAGTGAGATGGAGGCAGATGTGTCTCATACTCTCCCCCTCCCCCTGCCTTTTTCAACTACCCCATGCTACAATTTGTTTATTGTCTCTTTGGAGATTTAAATTTAATTCACTGTTTTTTTTTTTTTTTAATGAAACAAAGCAATACAATCTGTTCCTAAGGGTCAACACTAAAATAATGCCTTGCAAATCCCTAATCAGTGAAAAGGTGGAAACACTCAGCATTTATTCTTAGTTCAGAAGAAATCTATTGGTTTTTGTTTGGCTCCAGTCACAGCTCCTACAGATTTATAGTTTCAGCTAAAACGAAGAGAAGTACAAAAGCCAGGGAATTATTTGTAGTGCTTGTTAGTGATAATAGCACACCATACAACACCTTATAAATCATGCTGTTTGAGTCACATATAGTAAAGGGCATTTTGTATGAGTCTTCATAGTAAATAACAACTTGCTTGGCCTTTCCCTTTACAACAAATGAGGACTATCACTTTTAAGTGGATAAAACAGGATAAAGGCTTAGTTAAGCACCCATTTCTATTAATTTCCAAGTAAAGACTATCTGTGACTATCTGTATTATGTAGACAGGCTTGTAGTGGCACAAACCAATGAGTTCTACTAGACATTGTTTTGAATTATTTTACCCACACATTCATATGACTAACATGGGTCATAGAGTGGGAAAGTCTGAACCAGTGATAACTGGGAAAGTGGAAGTAATTATTTATGTACAGAAATAATAAACCTTTAGAGTAAAACTCTGTAAATCAAGAAATATATATTCTGTTTCTTAAAGAAAGGAAACAAACAAATAACCTTCCCCATCTTGAAACCATTTTATATTAATCATCTCTCTATCTCTCTATCTCTATCTATCTATCTATCTATCTATCTATCTATCTATCTATCTATCTATCATTTTTGAGGCTTGGTGTCACTACATAGTCCAAGATAGCTTGAAACCACTTTGGAAACCACTCCAGTCTCATAGAGATCTACCTGCTTCTGCCTATAGAGTGTTGAAATTAAAGACACAGGTCACCACAAGTCAATGCAGGTGTCCCTAATATTATTTGTCTTAAAGAAATAATGTGCTAGTTCAAGTTTTAGAAACCATACCCTTGACTAATATTAAGGTGTTTCCTCATGGAGGACCAAGACCTTAAGAAGATGCCAAAATACGTCTGCATCCTCCATACATGATCAAGCAAATAGATTTCAGATCTATTGCTAAAGATGGACGTAGTCCTTGCTGTCTCAACTCTGCAATCTTATTTGAATCTACTCCTTGATCCACTTGCTGATTCCCATCTAGAGCAAATGTTCCATTTGACGCATTCTAAACACTGACTCAGTATGATGCAACCACTTACATCAGAACTACATTTGGTCCAGTTATCCCTGAAACATTTTGAGTTTTGCAGTGCAGACCTTGTCTCTGTCTCATAGGTTTTCAGCAGCTTTTCCACAACACCGTAATTTGATCTGGGGTCAGCTGACTTTGGCCGGCTAGAAAAACTGCTTGGTCGCCAATCATGCTCGTGGAACATAAGCTGATAGCTACTAGGACTCTCATGTGTCTGCATTTGTTTGACCAGGCCTGCTGAGGATACATTTGTGGGATCACTGAACATATTTTCCATGGGCACAGGAACATCGTCACTAGCTTTCAGAACATTGGTCCCTCTGTCACTTTCTGATATGTCAGCTCTGTGAGTAGTGGAGATATCACAGGTATTGAGATTGAGATTGTCAGGTGATTTTGTATAGCTTTCACTTTGCTGTATTGCTTGACAACTTCTGTCTGTTCTAAAAACAGTTCTGTTAAACTCATCAATCTTTGCAGCCAGCTTTTCATTCCTTGGAGTTGGGTCAAAATTGCAGTTGTAATTTCTAACTGGGTCCCTCTGTGTCACTGAGGGAACAAAGTCAGTTTTCACATGAAGATCAAGATGAAATTTTGTAGAGTTATCTGGAATCACCTTTTCAAATTTTGTTCCACTGGAGGTAAAACTAGTTTTTTGAGATGGCCTGGAAGGGCTCTTTTTTGTACCTAATACAGTGTCACATGACCACAAATTAAGTCGAATGTCTTTGTTACCTGGAGGCTTTCTATCTATTTTGACTTCTGGTGTCCAAGAGGAAAACATGGTACTATCTTTCAAACTCTTGCCTTCTTGTGGAGACAATGAGGCCTGCTTCAAGAGGAAATGAGGATTGCTATTTGTTTTGTCTTGACTCTCATGGGCCTCCCACATGTGGTATAAACTTTCCTTCAATCTTTCCTGAGCTTGTTCAGAATATGAGCTGGGGAGATTTCGAGAGGTACTTCTTGGAGGGGGAGTTGGTGGTGTTTCACTTCTTTGTAAACCAGTTGTACTCATTCCACAGCTGTGCATAGAATTGTTTTGGAGTCCATTGGTACAGCTCAGATTCTTTTTCTGCTTCTCTTTCTCCAAATTGGTTGGAAGAATGCCCTGGCCATTACTGATCAAGTGGTCCTCATGAGGCACATGGATTGTATTTGGCATTGCCTGGAGAACATGATCTGATTTCATCCTAAACAATTATAAGTTAAAGCATATTAATGACAATTTTCTTTTCAAATGAGCTTTGAAAAGCCATAGTTTTTTTTAATGCATTTCTGCTATAGAAAAAAGAGTCACAATTTGATCAAATGTTTATATATCTATAAATATATACTTATAGTGTGTGTGCACACATATAAATGTAATATATAAGTAATGCTATATATAAATAATATGATATATAAATAATGTGATTGTATATAATGTTACACACACACACCACACATTCTAAATCCACTTACTGCAAGTTCTCTTTATTGTAGGATAAAGTTGTCAGTGTCATCCCTCATTTTTCTTCAATCTGAAACTTATGCTAGACTCAAACTAGACAATGTAGTCACTTGAGTTTCTGCTCTTGACATTCCCATTTCTACAGTCTTTCTCCTGTCATATCTTTTCTTCCTCTTTTCCTATGCAATTTCTATTTCCTACTCATAATTCCTCTTCAGACTTCACTTTTCTCCTTGGATGCTAAATAACATTTAGAATGCTATTGTTCTGAATGAAGTATCATGAGTGCTAGATAACTCCAAATTAAATGTGTCATTCGAACTTGAAAGGAAAATAAGATTATATTTTATTAATCAAAGAAATGAGCTCTGATAAAGTGTGTCCACTGAGCAAAGAAAGTGATCATGAGTGACACAGCGGTGCTAGAGTGTAGCAGATCTTAGAACAATCTCATTAAAGAACATGCTGAGGCTTTGAAGTGCTTTCTGGAGGCCAGAGGGATGATGGTGAAAGCTTCACATTTCAATATTTGTGGCTTTTTTTGTGAGAATTTCATACAATATATTTTGCTCATATTCTTTGATCTTCCCTCAACTCCCCCGACGTGTCCTCTACCTCCCTACTCACCCAACTTCATGTTCTATTTTCATAAGAGTTTTGTACTACATGTGATTTGTAAATGAAAAAGCAAGTCTCTGCATAAAATAAAAATAGAGCAACAATGTGGACTACCAAATAATAAAATCACATAAGTAAAATAAGTCATATTATACAATTTATAAAAAAGCTTCAGTGACAACTTACAATGACATACAATAAGCACATACCAACACATGACATCAGGAGAGCTCAATAGGCAGAGAGAGGGCAGTGCACAGTGGCTGGCAAACTCTGTTGCAAGCTAGCACAGAAATTCTCAATTTCCTGACAGTTAAATAATAATAAGGAATCTTATGGTTGTAGTATTCTAAGAGAATATCAGATTTCTCAATGAGCTAAATATCAATAAAGAATAATCCATATTGACTATGCACAGAATTCCAAATTGTTGTTTTTTAACTTAGCTAGTATTTAGTCTAAGAGTTTGTGCCATGTAGACATGTAATGTGTTATTTTAAAATGTACATTTACTTCTATTCAGTATACATCACTGTTGAGAAATAAATGACCCAGCCATAAAATGTTTAAATAGAACAACTTACATTGTTCAAACACTACATTGTTAAAGTTGTCACAGTTTAAAAGCCAATTTAACTGGGTTTGCCAATTTGTATATTCGTCCTCTGGTCAAAAACTCAGATGGAGAAAGAACTTCAGTACAGGATATATAGTCATTCTGGACAGACAGTCTAGTTTACCTAAACACTGAAAGAATACAGTACAGTACTAATACTTACTTACGTTATGAAACATACTGGAAGATTACCTTTAAGGTTCATGAGCTAAGGTACACATGATGAGTCAGTGTAGATTCATCAACTATGAACAGAATTCTTTTTCATTCTCTGGTCTACAGTGATCAAAGGTGCCAGCCTACCTTCTGTGGTTAGAACGCTTTCGGATTTCCTCTTGAAAGGTACACAATTCTTCACTAACTTTTGCAAGTTCTTCAAGAGCCTTCATACCATATCACATAAAAGAGAGCTGCTGTTAGTGTGCTGAAGTGTACATGCTTCTTTAGAAATAGCTCCTGGCTGACCCCAATGTTACTTACTGTGTTAAGGGCAACAGAACACTCTATCGTCTCCTTAGAAGTCTTCTCCCCAGCCCAGGGCTCAAGTGCCTTCCTGTCTGTGGCCAAAGGATCCTGAAACCCCACTTTGATTTCTCTGTGTGTATTTTGTTCTGGAGACACTTGACTTTCTTCCCCAAGGAAATCGTTGTCTGTTTTCTTTTCCTTTTCTGGATCATCTTGGTCATTCAGCACTCTGAATTCACATTGTCCTGAGTTGAGGTGATCCGGAGGAAACTCCGTTTTATCTGGATCATGGCGAAGATCAATGACCTTAGAATGTTCATTCATGTTCATTTTCCTCCTCAGCTTTACTTCCTGGCAAAGCTGTAAAAATTAAAGATTAAAAATTTATTTTCCCTAATTTACTTGACCAATATATTCGTTTAAAGGCAGTCTCACTTTGTAGCCCTGGTTAGCCTAGAAGAAATTCTGAAGTCTAAAGTGGCTTCAAACTCCTAAAGATTTATCTGCCTCTGAATACTGGGAATAAAGCTGTGTGCCAGTATGGCCACATTTGATCAATATTCCTGATACTAAGCAAATCATTTGCGTTCTCTTTGCAATATTACTATATACTACCATTGGTGGTAATGCTTGTGCATACAGGCAGTGTCTCTAAAATAGAGTTGACTCACTGAGGGGGTGAGTAGTAAGGGCTTAGTGAGAGCGGAGAATATGTTTGTTTGCTATATGATATGGTCAGCTATTTAGGCAGTTAATTTTACTATTATAAGAGTGCATGATTTAAAAACATATGATTTCATTAATGTTAAACTCTTGCTATATCCAAAAAGCCCTTAGAGAGAATAGTCAGTAATAGATTCAACACACTGTAATTTTGTGAATGTACTTTTGCATTTTGTATATCTAGAATTATTTTATTTTTCAAAGAGTTGATTTCTCATCAGAAAAATAGAATGTAATGCCCATGCATTGCCTTACTAAAATTAGTCTTTATGGTTTATGGTTCCCCCAAGCTTTTCTGGCTAATCTCTATTCCAAGTTTCAAATGGTCTGAGTATGTACATTCTGGATTTTCAATAGCAGTTGCCATTAGTGCAGACAGGGGCTCAGCAGAGATGCATAGCACCTCCATGACCAATGTTGGATGCTCTCACTAGGGGATATTATTACTTAACATCATTGATTTTATCAGTGCATACTTGGGAATACACACTTCTCTAGCATATGGCTCAATATCCTGAAAAAATTTAAAACTAGAACCAATTAATTTTAAACAAAAATGCTCTATTTGTTAAACAATATAGCTATTAAATAAAATACTCTATTATGCTTTCATAATTATATGATTGTGTTTATGTTTTGTTTTTTAGTTTTCAGAACAAGTATCGATTTTCTTTAGTCTGTGAAAATATTTTCAGTTTTATCAGCATTTCATCCTAGCATTACACACTGTAGATTGTTATGTACATGACCAGAAGAAGACACCCTTCTGGAACTGAGATATTCTCTATGGGCAGTATGAGTACTCTCAACTATGTTGTCTTAAGCACAGGTAGGAAGTCCCTGGGTAAGAGGAGATGGAAGGAAGAAAGTAGAAAACGGTTTCTAAATTGTTGAAGGTCATAAAGGAATCATTATTCATAGATGTCTCAACTTATTTTAGAGGAAGGATGAAATAGCCCCTTTCTTCTGTTTTCTGTTTTGGTGTATCACTTTTTCACTCTGCGTTTTAGTCCCAACCTATTTATTTGTTGTTAGTCAGGGGAAAAAAGTGTGTTTTCATTACAAACATACAAAGCACTTACTTTCCTTATCGGCCTTAAAAAAGAGACTCAGTAATCTGTTAAATAAACCATAACATTTAATATTGCGTATTAAACAAAATAGAGCAAAATAAGTATAGTTAACTTTCAGCTGGAGAAAGCTTAGATGTACACCAAAACACATGTAGAAAGAAATATTTCAGAGCACAGTATGGGATGGCTAAGAGATGATTAAGGAGAATAAAATCACTGGCTATATCAGAGCCATGACATGTCTTTTGAAAAACCCACTTCCTAGTAAGTGTGTTAATATCTGGAGGACCCATGCCAGAATAAATCTGATGGCCACTGCTACTTTTCTATTTGGCATATGGCACACTTTTTGATGCTGCTGAATTACTTGACATCCTTTGGTATATATTACTCAGATATCACCTCAAAAATGATCTTTATTCTTGTGTTGTTATAATCTTAATACTATATCTCCCACAAATTATTTCCTGCATTTTCATCCTAGGTTCTAGTATCTGAACACTTATACAGATATATACATTACTTCCAGTACCATGCCTCTGAATTCAGAGAATAAGAAATTGATACATTGTAGAATAACATTACAAAGTCTTCCTTTTCATGTAAGACTATAAAATAAATGTCTCAGAGATATCACTTGGTGGAACTGAGCCAGTTTTGCTCTAGTAAATATAAGGAGATGTTTATTTCTTTGATGGAAGAAGAAACACAAAATAGTTCCCAATATCAATTGCATGTCAGCAGGATTTCCATTTCGAACTTAGACTTTACAGTACATTTAGAGTAAATCAAGCCTTACCTCTTCAATCTTCTTCTGCATGATCTTCCACTGACTCTCCCATTCTTTTCTTTCATTGTCAAACTGGTTCAGTAACTCCATCTTTTCCTTATGCCAGTCGGCTGCTGTGGTCTCCCAATGCTTACATAGGTCCATGGCAACTGTGTGCGTGTCAGCCAAAGGATGTCTGCTCATCTCTGCCTTCTCTTAGCTGTTTCTTGGAAGTGTTAAACTGTTTGATTTGAAGTGGTCTCACTTGCCTTTAAAATAAAGCCTGAGATAAACAAGACAGAGTCCCAGGCTTATGTGCTTTCTGTCAACATATGATTTTTGTCAAAAGTCAATGACATAATCAAACTATAGAAAGTTAAACAAAAAGAAGAGAAAAGATAACAAAAATCTGCGTATAAAGGAGTCTTTTTTTTTATAATACAGTCAATAAAGTGGTATTGTCCTAAGATCTTTTCCTCTTCTTTGAGATTAACAGGAAAATTACAGTGGACAAGCTGGCTAGCTGCACATGTAGGATATAAACATTTCCTTACCTAACTGCCTAATCTAAATAGACTTTCTTCATAAATATTCACAAGTTTGAGTATGAGATACAATTGTATGGTTGCATCTGCCTAGGTGTGCTCACTCTGTTAAAATGGAATTAACTGTTTATGTGGCAGTACAGGTTAGTTACATATGCCCATGATTTAAGATTGTGAGCCAGTTCAGGATAACTGTCTGAGTTCTGTATTCAGAAACCAAGCCCATGTCAAGTGGGAAGAATGTCCCAAGACCCAAAGCAGATAGTGACCTCTAGAGTCTCATGTCTCATCAAGAAAGTAGCCTAACTTAAAATTGAAAAGGTTGTTACTTTACTTCCTCAAATAAAATCTAAAGTATTATTGTTCTGTAAGAATTTTAACATATGCTAAAACTTATTCATAACCTCTTCTCTTTCACCTGCACTATTTATGCCTAGAATATAACTATAGAAAACAGTTATAGAACAATAACTATAGGAAACTGCTTTCTTGGGCTACCCTAAGGAGTCACCAAAGTAATTTGATTTCTCACATTCAGCTTAGGAATATTTAGGGTTTGAGGAGACAATTTAAAATACCAGATATGGGGATCAGAGAGATGGCTCAGATCTTAAGATTGCACACTGTTCTTACAGAGGACCCAAGTCTGGATCTCAACCCCCATATTGGGTGACTTACAACCATCTGTGACTCCAGCTTCAAGGAATCCAACATCTTTTTCTGAAGTCTGTGGACACCCACACTCACACATGCACATAACTCCCACCACACACACACACGCACACACAGAGTTAAAAATAAACTTCAAAAGGCTGGATATATAATTCTATTACAGACTTTGGTATCCTATTTATATTAAAGTGAGGATATTTGTAGAGTTATTATAAACTTTAGACAGTATAATAAATGCACAGTAATTTGAGAGATTAAAACACTTATAATTTGCACTTTAAGTTTTTTTGCTTTTTCTGAAGAAAGTTTTTATTAATAAAATTATGTGTCTTTGTACTGAATAGAACAAACATATTTACAAATGAATGACTGTATTTAAAATAATTATGCCAATGAGAAACATAGTGTTTCAGGAGGAGCACATACTTAACTTATCTAGGCCCTGGGCTGATCTCCCCAACTCCCATAAACACACACACACACACACACATACTCAAAAGAGAAGAAAAGAAAACTCCTAAACCCTGATTGTTCTGTTTACTAATTAATTATCAATTAATCAGCATTCACTAATCAATTAGCATAATTACTCATTAATATATGGCGGCAATGCTACAACCTTTCTGTTATTTACGTACAAATCTGCCAATAGTCAATGTGCACTGTTTCTGGCAGAATTAATTCTGCATGATTATGTAGGAAGAACTACTTTGAATTCACAGCAGATAGATGCATATTTCATAACTCACATATTAGATGACTATGAAAGATAACTTTACTTTTTGCCAGGCTTCTCCAGTCAAGATACGAATGAATTATGATAGACTACAAGGAATTAAAAACATAGCTCTTTATGTAGGCCTCCATTTCTTTAAAACAAAAAACTTACTAATGTTAATATCACTAGTTTCTCAAAAAACATTTACCAGTTGCACTTTGATAGTATTTGCATATTTCCCTGTCACTCACAGTATCATTATTAATTCAATCAAGAAAAGCAAACAATTTCCAGTTTAGTTACAAGCAGGCTCCCATGACCCTGGGTCACTCATTCACTCTCCATTTCTAACCTCATTTTCCTTTGCTTCCTCATTAGTCTTGGTTTTCTTTTGCTATGCACCCCACTTATAAGCCAGACATGAAAATCTAACAAAATGAAGAGTAAAGAGTTTCCCAAATTTAGAGTTTTGTTTTTGCTTTACATAAACTTGACTAATATTATCTAGTGATCCTTTAGGTCTATGCAAAACCTATTCCCAGGAGACACAGACTGGGTTTGTGTTGAGACTGAAAGACTGCTTTAAACCTATCTATAATGACCTGTGAGCTGAAAGTAACTCTCCGGCCAGGAAGAATTACCTCTCAGGAAAAGCAGAGACCTTTGAGACATCACAAGACCAATACAAATTTACCCAAAGACATGGTAAAAAGGGAGTGGAGTGATTACAGGATATTTAGAAAAGAAGCTTTATAATATCTATGCTTTGTTCCAACTGTGTTTAAATAGTGTAACTGGTCAGAAATCATCCTCACAAGGATGTACTACAATCAGTGTAACGGGTGTGTGCAAGTATTTGTTTGTTTGTTTGTTTTTTATTTCTAACTCCTCTTGAACCATGCACACCTCAGACTTTAAAGTGGTCAAGCCTTCCTATTTTTATCTACAATAAGGTCATCCGTAAACATCCTAGAACAATGTTGCCCCTTACAAGAGGAATATGCTAGCCCAGGAAACAGTCACGTGGGCCTGAATCCTGACCTTATTATCTGCAGAGTCAAACTCATCACTGCTGAAGGGTCAGTCTACACAGCTTCCTCTTTCCAGAGCCAGAGTAAAACTCGGTTCTTGACTGGTAATGGCTATGACTGAAAACCAACCATAGCCATTTCATACAAGAAAGAAGGCGTTCTGAAAGTTTATTTACAGCTGTTTCTCTGGCAATGTTTTTTTGGAAGGGCATTTCCTTAGCTTTGCTAGGATCTCAGTCTTGTCATCAATACACACTGCAACACAGATGCATCACCCTCTATAAACAAAGCATGGGGAGGGGCATAAAAAAACATTCTGAAGAGTAAGTAGCAAGTGAGAGAATGCATAACAAGAACCCAAACGCTGCTGTATCATAAGGAATTTTTTTAAAGATTTATTTTATATATGAGTGTTCCATCTGCATGTACACTTGCATGCCAGAAGAGGGCATTATATACAGAATATTACATTATAGATGACTGTGGGTCACCATGTGGTTGCTGGGAATTGAACTCAGGAGCTAGTGCTCTTAATCACTGAGCCATCTCTCCAGGACCACAAATTCTTGCTAAGTGCTGATTTCATCTTCCCTCTTTCCTCTCATCCTTTCCTTCACTCATCTCCTTGTAAGCCACCTTTTTTTTTCTAAAGTAAAACTGAGTATATCAGCTTTACCTCCTTGTAAGCAAATCTCAATGGGTTAACTTATATTCCCTTTGTCTGTATCTTGCCTTGGTACTTCTCAGTTTTCTTAAAGGCATACGCCAAGTTAAATATAGTGCAAAACAATTTGTCCCTAGTAAAAAGTTGGATAAATATTTAAAACTACTTTTTGTTATCATTCTAAATTGAGTCTTTAGAATGTTAGGCTAAATGATCAATTTTGTGGGGACAGAATGTTCTGTGATGAGAAGTTTCAAGGCCAAGTGGATCAGCCATTCAACAGCCTGGTTTTAGTGCTCTCCACTGAAGCCAGCATAAAAGCTCTCCTTGTTCTTAGCTCTCAGTCTTTCCCTCCCACAGATTCTGGGATCTCTGTGGGAGAGCAGAAAGGATTTCTACATCCTACATCCCCTTCCCTATAGCTCCTTGCTGTTTCATTTCAGTATCCCCAAATTTCAGAATAGAAGTTTATTAGAGGAAAGTGTAGAAAGAGAGGTAGTTACATTTGTTAGTTACACAAATGCCCCGCCCCTAGCAACACTAAACTAACATTCCATAATTCCCTTTAATCTATTTCTCCCCAAAACTAAGATTGTAAAGGATTGAGAATGGGTTGTGCACATGCTGTAATGAGAAACTGACGGTTCACTCCTGCCAGGGAGCAACATTTAAGAACAGCAAAGGGGGTCTCATGAAGTATACATGATAAAATACAAACTTTGATTATACACAACTTTGGGTTGGGAGGCAAAGATATAAATGCAGTAACATTGAGCAGAGGATTACTGCTGCAGTTTCGGCCCCTAGACCTACCTCGGTTTGGCCATGGTCACAGGTCTTTACCCAAGGCATGCTCAGTGCTTTCTACATCACAGTTATGATCATTTGAAACTCCATCTTGTCTGCTGAAACTGGATTTTAGCCATGCCAACTAAGGAGTGTCAGGAGGGCTGATCCTACTGCTGCTTCTGTCTCGGGAGAATTCTGCTCTGAGTATTTGGTTTGTTCCCATTATTTTCTCTTTTTCCTGGGCATATTAGATTTCTTATATTTCAGATTTCTTATATTTCAAGTCCTTTACACACATGAAAATGAAGACTCCAGAAAGAATGTCAGAGACAGCAATACGGCCAACCTCATAATTCCTAGAAGAAATCATTTGGCCTGATGTCAAGTTGCTACCGATCAATTTTGTGGGATTAGGAAGTCCCGTGCCTATACCTCAAAATACTGTGTCACCTGTCTTCAAAATTCCTTCCCTCACTTTCCAGGCTTTTATCCACCACTGGAACCATTTTAGGCAATTAAGGAATCCTATTCCTCCTGTGCTGTTCATCAGCAAATACATCTACCTAGAGACCTCTCACTTGATTTTATTAGAAGAGTAAAATGAAAAAAAAAATGCTGCTGTTCATTGCTATTTCTGCCTGCTCCTCATTTTCCCGCAAGGTCAAAGAAATGTGGCACAAAGAATTCCAAAGAAGTCAATCTTATTTTCTCACTGGGTCACTGTCTTTATTCTTGATTCTCCAGCTATTTACTGATAGTCTCAATTTAAGCTACAGATACATCATTTTTAGTTCCCTTAACCAATATGATACAAGCTTTGAATACAAACAACTTTTAGCTTGGGAGAAGCAAAGATCTAAAAGT